CGATTCTGCACTTCTTTTTCATGTTCCCTGAAAAAACAACGATTAAGGACAATGTTTGCAGGGAAGAAAAAAAACATCCAAAAAATCATCCTGGTTCCTCCTTCTCTTCTGTCATTAAAAACACCCACCCCTTGCTCAGGATGCCGCAGGCTCAGCTCCTGCCCGAGCACCCGAGCAGCGGCTGGGAGGTGTCCTTAACCCCCATCGACATGTGGCGATCTTACAGGCTCCGGGCACATCACTGACCTGAACCCATGCTGGTATGGGCACACCACACTCAAGGGCAGTCAAAGAGTCCCAAGAACTGTACAGAAACCCGGGGGCTTGTGCAGTTAAACCTCCCCCACGTGGCACCTGGACTGTTTACCCTACAGGACTGGCACAGATTACTGGAACTTGGGCCACGAATGCAATGCATTGCAAGAAAAAGAACTACAAAGTGAGGGAATGGTTATAAAAACTGTAGCCTTAGAAGAAGGACAGCTATCCGGATGCCAGGGTGCCCAGCTGGCTCAGCGGCAGGCATCTGCCCTGGTGTACTGGAGGAGATGTGAAAGGAAAGGGAAACTCTTGAATACAGCATGGGATTGAACTGCATGGATGGCTGAAATGTGTTTATCAAACTGCTCACAGTACCAAAATCCTTTGCCATGCAAGACCTTCCCGCTGGTTACCCCAGTCCTGGCAGTCCTGGTCCCTTTGTCCCGCTGGTGCCAGTCACAGGCCTTCCAAAGAGAGGCATCGAGTTTTGTAACTGCTGTAAGCGCTCACGCCGTCAGCGACGGACCACACAGCGTTACCCATCCCGAGTTAGTGGCTCTTCCAATTCATGGAGAGATGTGCAGTTATTCTGGTACAACAGGATCTGGTGAACGGAAGATCTGCCCCGTCTCTGCTAAGCCTCACCTTACTTGCACGCTTGCAGAGCTGAGCTTCCCCTCTGCTCAGTGAGAAGCAGGACAGCCTCCGTGCGGAGGAAAAGCAAACGCATTCCCTGGAAACTCTGCGAGTTCTCTCCTTTGCTGGGCTCATTTCTGGTCTGGAGATGGTGGCCCAGGCTGACAGCCATGCAAAGCCCGAGGTGATCGCACGGGGAATGTTGTCAGGTCACTATACTATTTTGTAGTTCTCCATTTAAAAAGGACAGTGGTCGGCTGTAACACATATGGCGAATTGAACACCGTGCTGTCTGCACTAACCATCAGATTCCATTCTTGAAAAAAGGGATCCAGGAAGGACTTATAATTAAATCCTATCATAAACTTTAATGATTTTCATTAATATGAAGCCAAAATATTTGGCAGCGCTGTGCTTACCGTAGTCAGCTGGCTACTTGTTTATCTGTGCGTGATTCCTGGTGTGTAATAGCTGTGGAACAATTGCCGGTCCTAGCTCGGTCCTGGGCAGTAGCCCTGGCCCTGAGAGAGGACACCATTTTCTCCAACCAGCTACTTCCTCACCCTCTCACAGCCCTGCCCTCCAGAAGGACTTTTTGGGGCCTCCCAAGCCCACTGTTTCCGCAGTGCCAGGCGCCGTCTCCCCGCTGGGGCCGGTGGTCGCCCCCCAAGCAGAGAGAGGCCCCGGCCGCTAGACGGGGGACCAAGGGCCGGAGGTCTCTGCCGGGCGCTGCTGCGCTCCCATTTTACAGCCGGCACCAAACCAGGTTGTGCACCGGGCCATAAATTCTTCATGTTTACCCAGCCCGGGGAGAGACGTCCTAGGTGGACCTGAGCTGTGATTTCAGGAGATGAACAAAAGGGCTGTGCCACAAAAGGCACGGCGAGCGCCAGTCTGTTGTTTCCACAACTTCCACCGCACGCGCAGCCAATTAGAAGTTAATTGACTTTATCGTTCGCTTAGAAATATTTATAGTTTGCTCACTTCTTTTGGAAAGCGAGGAGGAGTCTTGGATCAAGGATGTTCTCCTCGGGCTCCCAGCTGTTGTGCCTGCAACAGAAGACATGGACT